ACTTATTATGGTGAGGTCACGTGACCGAACTGACCTCATGTGACATTTGGGAAAAATCTGAGATATACAATTTGTGAGACCTCTAAAGGATACTACGTCCTGTAAGTTTCATCTTCCTGTGAAAGTTCCTCTGGCACTGAGGGCGTTGCAAAGTTGCAACTTCTGAGGACCATGCATAGGTTCATTTATGACGTCATAGGTCAGTGACCTGACCTGACCTGAAAACGCAGTTGGTGTCAAAAGATCCAGCTTGAATAAAATATTAGGTATGCCAAGTTTCAGCTGTTTTCCCTCAGCGTGTTTTGAGCTATCGCGAAAAATCCCTATGAGGCGGCATCCGCCCCACCCCTTCTCGGCCGACGAGGGTTAATGTACTAATTCATGTACATGTTGAGCAGATATAGTATCATCTCAGCTAAAATATATCACTAATTCATGTTCGATACATTCTAGTGTTAGTATAAATATTCACTCATTATATTTTCAATTTATTTGACTTTTGTGCATGACGAATATTTACTTTTCAAAAAATAGGTGCTATCTCCAAAATGGAAATTTTTCAGATTTCAGGGACCACACCATCGGATTCCTCGCAACATTTTGGTTCAGAAAACACTAAAATTAGAGATAGGTATTTTCAAAAGTTATTTACCGTCTGTTGGAGCAATGTGCCGTTACCTGCACTACCGACGCCAGACCGCCCGTCAAGCGCTGCAGCGGTACCAAGGCCGTGTCCGAACATCGTGGGGGTGCTGAGTGCTGGGTGCTGGGTGCAGACAGCGCTAGGCTGTATGAGTGAGTGCTCTATGGCGTGAGTGAATGTCCTAATACGGCATGAGTGAGTGTCCTAATACGGCATGAGTGAGTGTCCTTTAGTGTCAGTGATTGTCCTTTAGTGTGACTGAGTGTTGTTTGGTGTGTGTATTCGTTGATGTGAGTGGGCACTGAGCGTCTTATGGTGTGAGCTGCGGAGGTACTCAGGCCCTGCGGAGTGAGTGTCCTTTGGCGTGACCAGCCGAGGTACAGGTCTCGCGGGTTTTAGCGGTAGGTTTTGCACTTAGAAAATTTAGTGTACTTCAGGCTATATCTTCGTCGTCTTAAGCTTTTAAGTGTTGAAGATGCGATCAACTTGTTGGGTAACAAGCCGGCCATGGTGTAAAATGGCTTCATCGTAGATCGATTAGTTTCTTAGATATAACCAGAAATCTAAAAGTGCAAAACCTACCGCTTAATCTCGCGAGATCCGTACGCGGGCGCTCCGCAGCTGGACGTCCTTCAGAGTGCACGCCGCCGTGCCGCGGCCAGCGGCGGCCGGCGGGTGAGTGGGTGAGCACGCACCTCCGAGCGGTACCAACTGACGCCACCGGTAATCGCAGCGTGTCAGGCGACCGCCGGGAACCAGCCTTCGGCCGGGTATTGATTTAATAAATAACTCTAGCACCGGGAAATTGATTTGATTCAATCAGAAGGCGCTTAAACAACGCAATTTAGACATGACTAATATAACAGCTAAACCACTCATGTTAGCCATATTTTTATCTATCATGTGCACACAAGCAACTAAGCAGAATAAAAAGTAAAGATATATTAGTGGGAAGAAGCAAGCATTTATGGGTTAGTGACAAACAATTGTTAAACTACATTGACTAAGCTGACCTTTAATTAACGTTGCTCATTTGCTTTTCCTGCATTAGATGTGTTTATAAGTAAAATTACCCTTTGAACACTTACTTATTTTATAAAAGGAGTGAAACGTATTTTCGCCATATATGTATGTCTCGATTCATAGCATTAAATACACAAAGTTTTTTTTTTCAAATACGTAACATTTCAGCCGTCTGACTGTTCACAGTTTCCACCGATAAAACTGTTAGCCGTGCGTGCAGCAGTGCGACCCGGCTCACTGCCGTGAGGGCGGCTGTGTGACTCGGCTCACTGCCGTGAGGGCGGCGGCGTAACACGGCTCACTGCTGTCCAAGTGCCGCCGTTGCCAGGTGGGCGTCACCAGGTCCAGGGAAGGAGGGGTCGAACATGCCACCCAACTGGCGGCGCCAATTGGACGAGTGCCCAGCGACAGGGTCGGCGGCGCCTACACCAACACACGGCTACATGGGCACTGCAGTCGGTATCACAATGGCCTTACCCGTACATCACTCTGATACACCGCAGGCACGCCTCACGCCAATTGCTGGATGGCACGGACGATGAAGATCAGTCGCATACCGAGAGGCGCGATGATTCATTATTTCTAGACAAATAATGTAGTGTAAGGGCAAGGGTAAAGAGCGCAATGTAATGCATTAGGTAGTGGAAAGACAACGCACATATGTACTCGTATTGCACAGGCGCCCACCATGGGCTGAGTAGGCTGGCGACAGTTCACTAGCTCTTTCAGTTTCATTGCTGTTTCATCAAGTTTCTCCAAATTAATCAGCTCAAAATCAGTCCGACGATTGACCATCCCCGTATCGACTTCCTTCGAATTACCTTGCTGCATTATAAATCCCAATAGTCAATCGTTTTAGACCTCGCTCTTACTCCGGAAGTTTCCCGCACAGGTTACTGAGTCCAGTTCACTCCCTCCCGCCCTCCCCCCGCCGCTCGCGTCAGCAGGGGCTTCATTATAAATGTTTGTTTCTGGGGGTCGTGGCGGCGCCGGGCTCCCGTTTGGTTTCGGATCGAACGGAGAGAGTGCACCGTCAGCGAGCTATGCAGTTTGGCCAGTCGTCTGACATTATACTTCATTCACGGTGTGGGACACATCTGATGTATGGGACTCAGGTCCATTGTAGTGCATTGTTTCCATTGTACGGCTATGGCAGAGAACGAATCATTCATAATTCCGCTTGCCTGGCATTCTCATAATGCTGAGGCGATACCTTGACGCTCAAAATAGAATTCAGCTGCATATTTATCCCGCGCCCCGTTGGGCTCTGCCGAGCAACGCGCCCCGTTGGGGGGGGGCCATTTTGGCCCCCCCCCTAAGATCTCGAGAACCACGCAACCTAGCGACAAGCAGCAAACGGTGTTGGATAGCCCTATCAGGGAACTACCTTGTGACCCAATTTTATTGACCTAGGTCAAACCGATGACGTCACAGATCAGGTCAAAGGTCAAATTTTCACCGTTTACAGGCATTTCAAGAAATGCGTTGTAAAATCGAGTAAAATGCATTTCATTGAAAATCATCGATGGGGAAATGTTCTTCAAACACATATTTTGCTATTTGAGGTCACTGATACCAGGTCAGGTCACAGAGGTCAGGTCACTGGGGGGTCACAATATGAAAGTGTCGTGTGATACATGTTTTATGGTCCATTTCACATGACAAATGCGATTATGTGGGTCAGGCAGCCTTTGGGGCCAGCCTAGGTCACGTTTTGGTGAAGGTCAGGTCAAGGTCAGGTCAAGGTCAGGTCAAATTAGGTCAAATTTCAAAGTTGATATTTTTGCATAAAATGGGTATCGAATCGATGCAGCTCGTCACGGGGAGTTCAATGGTGGTCTTTGTTTTGCCGTACGAGGTCTAGAATCGCTAAAAATTGAGTTCAAAAATTTGACGTCATCATTTTTGAACAGTTTTTTCGCTATAACTTGGCCAAAAAACGAGATATCGATCTGAAATTTGGTATGTATATAGAAGAGCGCAGGCACTATCACATATATTCCGGTTTTTTTCGAAATTCGGAAAAATTTTGGATTTTTTCAAAGTTTTTCTAAAAAAATCAATTTTTTGAATTTTTAGGGGTCAAAAACCCAAAATTTTGAAAATCCGAGATAGCAGTTTTGTAGCGCCGCTTTTTGTCTACTAGACCATATAAAGAACTTTGAAATTGCTTGATAACTGTAGATTTGGTGAGCGTTTCAAGATTGCATGTTTTTTGCTCATTTTTGCTCGAACATGACCTCAGTTTGACCTCAATAACTCCTGACCTAAGGTGACCTAAGACTTGAAATTTTGTGTGAAGGTGTCAAATTGATGCCCGGGAAGGTACTGAAAATTTGGCGGCGCTGCGCGCCGCCGTTTTCTTGCTATTCAGGAAAAACCACAGGGGGGGCCAAAATGGCCCCCCCCAACGGGGCGAGGGTTATGACATTCGGAATTTTGTGACAGTGAGTTAAAGGCGGCGATGTATAAAAATCAATATTCTCTCAGGTCAGTGAAGAAAGATTTATATATTTTGATTAAAAATGTGAAAGTATCTCATAGCCACATTGTGTCAAAATAAGAAATAATTATTATTTAGAGTAAAAATAATTGACATATCTCACTCGAAAATGTTGTGGAATTTTTAGATGATTGTGTTCTGGCATTAAAATAAAAAAGAGCTGTTCGGGTCCGCATTGTCATATGACCATAACCATGATGTCTGCAGCGATTTGGAAACTGGAACCCTCTAATTTTAGGTATGATAACGTTTTAAATGCAAAAATTAGCATAAATTCATCATGAGTTGGAGGGCTTTGTGGTTTTAATTAACGGCGTTTATCCACATAACAGTCTAGCTTGTAAAGCGTTAGCCCAGAATTGACCAAGAACGCCTACTGCAAACCGTAAAGGCTCAGTAACCTTCCTCATACCTTTAAAAGCTTTTCGGACTCCAAAAACAGCCCGGCAACTGATACTACTTTAAACTGACGCTGTCGTCCGATATGCACCCTGTGATCGCCGAACATCTCAGCGCGTTCGGAGAAAGCAGGACCGCGTGGGGGTGGAACACAGCTTGTCTAGGGCTGCGGCCGCCCACACTCTCTAATTAAATCGCCCGTCTTCGGCGAAGCTCATCTGGCTAACAGCAGACCCCTGAGACTATGTAGAGGGAATGGAGGTCGTTCGCGCCCGGACCGTCTCCTGGCGACCAGCGGAGCGCGCCCGTGCCTTCCCCTCCTTCCCTCTCCGTCACCCCTTCCACACCCACTCGATCAGCGCGGGTCACGGAACAAACGCCCCCGGTGGCCATTCGTGCCCAGTGCGCCGGAATGGCGCCGGTTATTGGTACTCACAAGGCGCCGCTGGGTCCGAGCTGACCGGCGGCCGCCAGGCTGACGGCCAGCACGCAGGGCACGCCGTACACGTACAGCAGCAGGCGACGGTCGCCGACGCCAAAGTCCAGCGCCCGCCGCCGGTACACCAGCGTGAACGCGTTGATGGCCGTGATGTTGACCAGCAGAATCTGCGAACCGAGCGGCGCTGTCAGAGATAGGTGCGGTGTGGGGACCGTGAGCGGATTGGTCAGGTCAGCTGGGGCCTGGTGGGTGGGAGTCAGCGAGCGCCGAGCAGTATGGTGAGATGGTTACTGTTCTGAACTGACAGGCTTCAAAGCACTCAGCGTGGGGCCAGGAATACGAAACTGATAAAAAAGAAAACAATATCTATGATTGTTGACCATGCAACGACAACAAAACATATATTTCAAAATTTTCATCGTGGTTACAGGTTTGCTGCAAGATATTCTCCTAACTTTTTATTTTCGTGACACTGGGTATTCTCCTTGTCAACCTTAGCCCTCCCAGTGAAAAAGTTCCGTCTCCATCTCTATTGTAAATGTATATCCCGCATGGGAACAGCTCAACAATAGAAGGTCCCTTTCCTACCATCCCAAATGACCCAGTAGACAGGATTTGTCAACACAAAAACATTTACCATCTGACCAACCAACGTAACGACACATTCTCTGCAGAAATGCGAGGACCCCCTGCCGTATTGGCCACAGATTGGCTCCGACTGGGCTGCGATTCATCATCGTGTTCCGCCCAGTGCCGATGCCTCAAACCGTGACACGTCCATCTGGTCGCCGTAGTGGCGTGCGGAAGCGGTCGGGACGACCCATCCATCACCTGACACCCGGGCCGTGCCGTCCCCGGGGACACATCGCCAACGTCCAGCCGTCCGGCGCTGGACGGGAACGCATCCGGCAGATACCGTAGGAGCCAGGAGAGAGACCGGGATTTATTTACCAGAGGACGTGAGTGCATACATCACATTGATTGGTGGTTTATACATGGATAGGTAGGTAAAAAATACGGCACCTTTTTCAGCGTCTTCAGAGTTCAGACGCCACAAGAAAGCTTCAGCAGATCCATAAATTGTGCTGAATGGAGCTTAGCATATGAGGAAACATGCAACTCCACACTCCACAGGGTTTCCACAGTTCAACACTGGAGAACATGCTTGAAAGAAACTGTCTGAAATGAAACAATAGTCGAGTCAAAGAAGCAAGGCTCAGATCGTAATACTAAATCAAAATGATATTATCATGAATGATTATGTTGTAGCACTTAAATGTCCGTGGAGAAAGGCCGAAGACATTAATAGCTAGAGAGAACTCACAAAAGAAAAAAGTGCGGTAATTTTTTGCATGTAAGTTTCCATCAGAGCTATGTTCTGAAAGAAAACGTCTGTCCACCATCAAAAGTCCCTCACAAATCTCATGTTAATGACAGCTGTCCATCTAAGTGCACCCAGCCAATAAGTCTGCCTCGAACTTATCGCATGTTTCATTACGCAACGGGTTTCATTCTTGAAAAAAAGATGTTAGTTAGTGAAATAATTGACGTTCAACGATGCATTTCCTCTTCCCAGAACCATTGCAGGATACAGTAACTCAATGGAATTATTCATGAACGATAATAAATGTAAATGTTCTCTGGCATATAGTTACTTGCTGCCTTTTGACAACGTATTCGGGACATTGATTAATGGAAAGATGCGGGACATTGACAATTCAAAATATATCAACATTAAATGCATGAATTATAAATGCGTAACTTGCAGTACATTGTACAGGTACAATAGCCGTTTTCACGACGGCCATCTGGTACACATTTGGTGCACACCTGGTGCAGATTTAGTGCAGATTTGGTGAAATAAAGTTCAGTGTGTCTCTTAGTAGCTATCAGCTAGGGTTGCACTAATTGCTTATATGCCTGCTTTGTCATATTATCAGAGAGCATCATCGATTAGGACACTGAAATAAATTCATAAAATGAAGATATTTGCTGTAAAAGAGATTAGGTGCGGATTTGGTCAAATTAGGTGCATTCGCCGGAAATTAGGTGCATTCGTCGTGAAAACGGCTAAAATGAACTTGAGCCAAGTTTACGTCTGCTTCATAAATGATGGGCGTTATGACATCTTCTGATTAAATCATGATGGAAAATTATGCGAGTGCAAAAATACATCTTAAGCCTAAAACAGACTCTTTCCGCAGTCATGAAATCGTATGTGAGAGCCTTTTCATATACATGAAAAGCACGCTCGCACCAATCGCACGCACCTCCCGCATGCGATTGATGCGAGCAGAATTATATTGCATTTGAATGAGCTCTCGCATGCGATTTCCTGAATGCGGAAAAAGTATGCGTCAGCCTTCTTTAAGCACATAGGCCTTAGGCACAGAGCATAATGTTAACACGCGCAGTGGAAGGGGGGGCGGATTTCGCCCACCCCTCCTGTTTTTCGCCAATAACTCGCGCCGCAAGCATAATATCAATGTGAAATTTCGGCTACCTGTCCAGAATTGAATTGCGGATCTTCTCGTGCAAAAAGTAAGAAAATCGGTTCACAACTTTTCTAGTAATAGCGGTGTAAAGTCAAACATCCTGCCGCCGCGGCGGCGCGGCGGCGCGGCGGCCGGCGCTAGCCGTTACGCGCCGCCTGAATTGTAGACTGTGCCGGGGCGGGACGGTTCCGTCTTTACATCGCGCTCCTTACCGCTGATTATATTAGATTCGCGTCAAATTCGGTGAGAAGACTGAGAAATGTACAGGCAATCATATGGTCAAAGAATTTTGAAAATCGGCCGGTAACAACTTGAGTTATGAGTGTGTAAACACAAAATTGTGATTGCCGCGTTTCCCGCGTCGGCCGATGCCGCTTCAGCCGACGACATCTTACCCTTATCAGGCTTCTAACTGCCATATTTATTGTTGGATTATCTAGAAATTCACCATACATACTCACAAATGTTTGCTCTTTCATATAATGAAAGATTTAAAAAAATCGGCCGGTAACTTTTTGAGGTATCGGCGTGTAAACGCAAAAAAGTCGCTAATATGGCAGATTTGACCACATTTGACCTCATTTGACCTTGAAGATATTGACCTAGGGTCATGAAATTCACACACAACAGAGTTCCCCATAGCCCCCACCTACCCTCCAAATTTCGTCTTTCTAGCTCCAGTGGGAGCTGAGATCTTAGGGGGGGGGCGACATCCGCCCCCCCCCTTCCACTGGGCGTAGTACTCGCAACCCTTCCACTGCGCGTGTTAAGCTTACGTCAGTTTCTTGCTAAGGAATAAAAGCTAAACAACAGCACAAGTCTTCTTTCCTTTCCTTTTCAATATAAAAAGCAAACAGAAGTCTACAAAAATATAGTCAAAGCAAGCATTTGTAGATATCTGTTCTGACTAGGAGGAAACCTTACCAAGACTGTTGACTTGCTGAGTATTGAGCATATTTTTTTAAGAGTGTCTCATCAATAAAGAACACTAATAGCCACTAAAAGCTGCACTCCGCGAGGCCGCCGGCAGGTCCTCTGTGTGGTGTCAGAGCATCAATGGTGCATACGATAATTCATTTAGCGCGCCCACTCAGGACCTGCACCATACCTCAGCCGCCGCCCAGCACGGCTAATGGCGCGAATCACCATCAATCAACGCGGCCCCAGGCCCTTCCCCGCATAGGAGAATCAATGGTATCGCAGGGCGAATTCCATTACCTTGGCAGATTACAGCCCTTTCCCCTCGGCGAGCGCACGCCGGACTGAGACTTGGACCGATAACGGGAGGCAGCGCGGCGGCCGACCGGGCTCGCCTGGGGCACTGCCCCCGCCGGGAGAGCGGCGGGGGAGGGGAGGGGAGGGGAGGGGAGACACCCGGCGGGCGAGGCGGGCCAGGTTGGATGGACCGATAGTCGTGATGGCCATCGATAATGCATCAGTGGGCAGGCACCGCCGGCCGGCCGCCGTCCCCGTTAGCTGACGGCAGTCGGCCCGAATAAAAACTGCTGACACAGATTGCAAATCAATCCTCAGCTGCAGAAAAGAACTCCGAGTCAAGGTCACTTTGGGGTGAGGTTTATTGTTTTTCATTTTTCTCTTCAGTGCTCTCATTTCAATGTTAGCAAACAAAGCTGATTTATTGCATAAATGACAGGTCAGTGGTTGCCGGTTGGCAGATCATGATCCCACAGGAGCCTCCAACTGATCTTTGATAAGTTAGCTCTAAACTTACAGATGTCATGGTGTCTTCCCAGGATTTAGGTAAATTTCTCTCAGAATGTACCAGGAATTTATCATTAAAAAGATGGATACTACTGGCAATACATTTAAAAGATAGCTTGCTCACAATTTGCATGATCGGTCGGTATGTTTGAGGTCCACGACACATTTCGTAAATGGGGGCTCGTTTCGTTCTACTGACTATCCGATTGCGGGATTCTCCGTTTCTGCTGATCGTTCAATGCTGAGGAGATTCAATTCAGAGCCATAACCACACGACAGATCCGTAAACGACGCGCAGCCCGCTGTGCTCGGCAAAACAGGGAAACGTGAGCAATGGGAACGTCAACCGCTAAAAGCAGGAAAACGCTGAGAGAGGAGACGGTCGACAAACTAAGAGCAGGCGTTTCAGGGCTTCGCGATGGAGTTCGATCTGTCAGCACTGCCTGCAGCGGGAACCCAGTTCCAGGCACCCAACGGCCAAGGATGCCACATAAAATATATGTAGCTATACAAGCTGTCCTTGTGGTCACCGAACAAAGTCAGGCTAAGGCCAAGACGTTTGGTCTGCTGTGTCATCGGGATTTTGAGTAATGCTACACCCTAAGCTGACCATCGGTTTGATAACTAGATTACATGAGATAGACTAATGCATAGCCCACGGCCCAGCGTGGAATTATAGTCTCCAAAGGAGCCCTGACACAATGTCAATGACATCAATTATAACCTCTTTAACCTTCCAGGCGGTGGGGGGGGGCATTTTTTTTTGCCCCCCCCTTTAGTTTTTTTCGATATATCTCGAGAACCGCTGCGCCGATCGTCACCAAACTTTCAGTACCCTCCCGGGAGCAGCTAGCGCACATGGTGACCAAAAATTTTTCCAAAGGCTATGATAGGTTGGCCGCTAATGACGTCAGAGTGACGTCATTTTTGCCATTTTCGACCCAAAAAAA